AAAGTATGTATTTTCATTATGGTTGCAGTTTTGTTAATGTAGCAGGTTTTATACATATGTATACAATAATATACATATTTATACAAATTTATACTCTCATTTATACATCTGTATACATGTAATACCAGGAGTTCTGTTTTGTATTTGTACAATCTATCAATATATTTAGTACCATTAAAAACAGGAAGACACTATTATTGGATAATCAAAACATGTATAATGAAACATGTCAATTGCTTGTGAAACTTAACTAATCAACATTTGTAACTCTATTGTTTGTGAAACTTAACTACTCAACATGACAACAAATGTAATAGGAAGTGTTTTGTTTTCAACTATTTATTTTGGTCGATTCCTACATGTTTTCCTATTGTGACCACCTTGTCCACACACAGAACACGAAAATGCCCTCTTAGACTCTTTCTCTGAAGCAGGCTTGAGTCTTTCCTTTCTTGGCCTTCCTGCATTCCTTCTCCCTTTAGGTGGTAGGACCACATCTTCCATCACCTCTGTTGGGATTACCCATAAACTCTCATCTGGCATCGGATTCACTGGAAATTCATAAGTGCTAAGGAGTTTATCCTTCTTGTAGTAAAAAGAGCAATACTGGCCAGGTTTCAGCTGCTGGTTCTTCAAAACCGCCCAAGCATGCGGACATGGAAGTTCATCCATTTGAAATTTTCCGCAACTGCATGTTCCCTCTTCAAGGTACACTATGTTTCTCCTTACCCCTTCAAGCACAGTATATAACTGCTCCGTAGCAGGCCTCACCTGCAAAAGTTTTTTTTTAAAAAAAAAATAAATTTAAAGAACATTATACATTATTATACAGAGTTATACATCCTTATACAAGCAGTAAAATGCAAGTCAGAAGTGCCAAGATCATTATATTTGATTCATTTTACCGTCATTTGCTCCGATGCAATCAGATTTTCCCGATGGAGTTTGTCGTACTTTTCGCCAAGCTCTGTAGATGTCTCCATTGCATTTTTTCGTTTTTGTTGTTCCACTGTTGTAGCAAATTTGTCATGTACTCCAGCAATCGCATTACTGATAACTCTCTAGCATCCTTGTTTGCTGCATTAATTGACTCTGCAATATTGAAAGTCATTACCATCGACCTTTTCACTTTGGAATATGCCCTAGACCACCTTTCGTAGCCAATTTCGAACAAGTAAGGCTGCACTCTTGGATCAATTTTGCACAACTCTGTCATATGGTACTCAAACTTCTCTATCGTGTAAGCTCTTGCCAAAGCAAACAAGATATCCTTCAATTGTTTGTGATGTTTCTTGAATGTGCGCTTTACATTCTGCTACAAGTGAAACATGCAAATACAATGTGGTACTTCTGGGTACACAGCTTTTGTGGCATTGAAGATGCTTTCATTTCTATCTGAAACTATACACATCCCTTCCCTAACTCCAAAAGTACCCTTTATCTGGACAAAGAACCACTCCCAAGATTTGTTATTCTCTGAATCTACAATTGCATATGCAAGTGGAAGGATTTTTCCTGTTTATACAAAAATAGATATTAGGATTCAGACTGCAAATTAGTCTGCAGATACCAACTGCAAATTTTATACAAATCTTATACACAATTATACAGATTTATACCAACTGCAAATTTTATAAAAACAGCAGCTGTGAAATCCTATACACTTTTATACATGAAACTAAAACATTATACAAACTGCAGAAACAACATAGATGCAGTCAACTCACCAGCTCCATCTTGTGTGCAAGCAGTCAATATGGTACCCTTATATGCTGCTTTAAGGAAGCTTCCGTCAACAACCATTATCGGTCTGCAATGCTCCCAGCCCTTGATAGATGCATATAGCGAAACATATGCATAAAGAAAGCATCCATCTTCTGATTTGTGCAACTTTGTAACCGTTCCTGGATTTGTTTGCTCCAATATATAAAAATACTTCGGCAACTCCTTATATGAATCACTCGGACTCCCTCTTATCATTGCCATTGCTATCTCTTTAGCTCTCCATGCTTTCATGTAGCTCACTTCAATCCCGTGTTGCTTTTGTATGTCCTCTATTATATCATTTGCGGTGTAAACTTTTTTTGGATTAACACACTCGTCCTTGACTATACTAGCAATTACAACCGAAGTAACTTGACGTTGTGTTAAGTATCTTTCACCATAGCCGCATGTGTGATTATTATTGTAGCTTCTCACTTTGAATATGTTTGCCTTGAAAACGGCAGAAGATTTGAAACTCCAAGCACAATTGTCATCCATACACATAAGGTTATACCTAGGATTGAAGATCATTCAACTTCTAAATACACTTGTATACAAAAACGTAACTACATATATACTAATTTTAATACCTATATACAAATATATACTACTTTATACATATTTATACATATATATAACAGAATATACAATTATTTACATACCTTGTTGCGCTTGATCTCTTCACCTTGAATTGGAACCTCTCACGTACAGCCAAGTTCTTCATCACACTGACAACTGTCTCTTTATCCTTATAAACTTGATCTTCCTCAACAAATTCGTTCAATATATCATCTATTATACCCGTGTTTTCACTAAATTTCGTGTTTTCAATAAATTCGATATCAATATTCTCAGTGCTATCAATTGTGGATACATCTCTAGAATTTGAACTTGTAGCAACCAAACAGCTGGAACTTGTAGCAACTACACAACTAGAACTTGTAGCAACCAAACGATTTTCATAAATCTCTTTCACTGTCACAAACAAGGGATATTCAGTGAAATTCAAGTTTTTCTTCTTTAATTCGATATACACCTTAACACCTGTATCGTTGTAAATCAGGATCGGTGGCAAACCAACATTTGGGAGAAAGTTAATCTCTATTGTGTTTAACTCACTATCGATACTAATCTGTTCCGAAATAGCTGCAACTAAATTATTGTAGCTGAATGTCAACTCAATTATTACACAATCGCTGACGAAATTGATAAACTTGTTTTCTTCCCATTCACCACTATGAAGAACGCAAACTGGAAAAATCTCCATCGAACAAAAAATTGAAATCAAAATTGCAGCAAAAATGAAAATTGCGCTGATTTGCAGAAAAAAAAATTTCACTTTTCGTGTTTGATTTGCTGTTAATTCGAGATGAAGAAGAAATTCTAGGGTTTTTGGAGCTGCATTGATCGCAAGATCTCATTTTTGAAGTATTTGGGGAAGAAGATTGGAAAGAATCAGAGAAAATGTAGAAAATCCCGCTTCTTACTCCCAAAAAAACGAAAATAACGCCTCTTTTTTCGGATGGGCCTCTAATTTATGGGCTACTCAATTGTAAATTAAAACATAGGCTATAAAGTTGAAAAGGAGACGGCCCGGTTGTTTTAATATGAAATTTTCCCTTTATCAACTAAGGGGTATTCGGTTTGTGGAAGCATTAGAATTAAGGATATCATATTTTATCAAGTGATGATGGGATTTAAATCCCCTCTTCATGAAATATTTAATTCAATGCCGTGGACCATGGGGCCATAAAATAAATCTTATTTTCAATTATCTTACAGGTGTTTTGAATTGTGTAAATAGTTTTAACATCATCCGCGCATAATACAACCATGGTGAAACAAATTAAAAGAAATTTATTTTCAAACGAATATCTTTTATCAATTAATTTGGTATAAACAGCGAATGCTGTTAGTTTTTTGCCCTAAAATTCCCTCACTATAAGTGGAGTAGTATTACAATCCATCAAACTTATCCATAAACCCAGCAACCTACAATCTTGAATCTTCAAATAAGACAGCTGTTAAAACAAAAGAAGCTGGTTTTGGTTAGCAATTAGCACACTGTTTCTCCCTTAAAACATGCTAATGAAAGAAGTTTCAACTGTCACCCCCTCTAAGTACATTACAGCTAATTAGTACAATTTTTTCAACACCAAGTTTTTGCATCTGAATTGTAGATTAAAGGAGTCCACGTCATTCTTTTGTGTATTTTTTTATTTGTTAATGCACTCTCTAGGAAGGTTGCCTTAGGTCAGTCATAACATGCTGTTCACGTTACTTTATACCTACAACTTGTGATTGAAAATAAATCCAAATTAAATAATTGAAGCTCAAAATCTTACGACCTAGCACTATTTTCCAAAATTAAAATCTTCTATTTCTGGATCTAGAATTCCATGAATATTAAAGAAAAAGGCGTCCTTTCTTATATTTTATTTTGTAACACCAACTTGAGAGTTCTTACTAATTAAATTCCACATGGACATAGGTTCTACCTGTCCTATATATAAATGTAGATACCTTACCAAACTAACCTAAGCAGGCTCAAATACATCTCTAGCTTTCTGCTTCTTTCCAAAATTGAAAAGAAAAATCAAGAGAAAATTACAAAGAAACAGAAAATGGGTTGTTGGTCTGCTGAAAATGCCACCAAAGCTTTTCTCAAAACCATGAACATGGTAAGTACAATGATGAACTTATCATATCTGAAATCTGATATACATTTTTCTCGTCAAGTTGTTGCTAATATTATGTTTATCTGATTCAGGGAAAGAGAGCTACAGAGCCAAACGGAGCAGAGTTCATCTCCGCCCTCGCAGCAGGAAATAATGTACAACTTATGGTAGTTGCTTGTGCACATGTTGCAGATTCCACCACCCTTGCACTTGTGGCAGCAGCTCAACAAACAGGAGGACGCGTAATTTGTATCCTTAAGGGCGTAGAAGAATTATGTCTCTCTAAAATGGCACTAGGTACAAATTCTAGTCACCTTGAGTTTGTTGTCGCGAATGCTCAGAGTCTAAACATGCTGCTGCCAAATTACTACAATGATGCTGATTTCGTAGCTGTGGATTGTAATATCCAAAATCATGAAGAGATTCTTGGATCGTTGCGAAAACACAGAAGGGATAAAAATACTATAGTTTTGGGATATAATGCATTTTGCAAGGAGTCATGGAGGAGCAGTCCTTTGCGTACGCAATTGCTGCCTATAGGAGAAGGGCTGCTGCTGACCAGAATTGGTGCAAAGGCGAAAAAGGTTACGGATCAGGGGATGGAAAATAGAGGACATTGGATTGTTAAGGTAGATAAATGCACAGGGGAAGAACATGTATACAGAGTAAAATCTCCTCGTACGAGAGTGGTGGAAGCCTAATTCTTGACAGATTAATAGACTGGAATTGTAAATAGTTATTTGATGTACAACACTTTAGTTGAAACTACCAAAGATTCAAATATGCAGGGGGGGAGAAATTTTGATAAATATAAAAAGACAAATTCTTTTAGCTCAAAATTCCACATCTTACAGAAATAACTCACCAATCTATGATTGTACTTCCTTTATATATTTGCTTCACCACAGCCAAATATATAACTCTTCCGAATTGTATTTTCCAAAAATAAAGTTATTTCTAAAACTTTACAGGAACAAAAATGTAAGTACCCAAATCAATTATATTGATCCGGTAAGCTAAATATAGAAAGGAAACTAGGAAAGAGAAGTGTCAATACAATTATAAGTATCTGCAGTTTGACAAAAGTTCTCATGTGAAAGGCCTTGACAGTTTTCATAATCTTTTCATGTGGACATTAATCATTAAATCAGGTTATCTTAGTGAAAGAAGTATAGTAGGAGCACAGCTCTATTGGGGCAAAGCTACGATATGAGACTCCAAAAAATGTTACCACGGCAGCAATCATTGATCCTAGGTAAATGGAGGAAAATCCTTCTTTTTACAAACAGAATAATAGCTAATAATCCATGAGAAATTCTAAGGTTACAGGATACAGACATTCACAAAAGAGTCAAGGTTTGCGGTCAAAAGACTTGGCAAACCATAAGTGTAAATCCACTCCGCCCCAAATACTCGTGCAAGGTTAGTAGGAACCTATCTCCAGCTAATAAGTTAGGAAAGAAATTTTGCGCTGATGGCACAAGTTCATTAGCATTAGGAAAAAATAGCTAAATTACCCAGTTCTCGTACGATTGTTTCCATGGTTGGTCTCTCCTCTGGACATTCATGTGTACATAACAAAGCAATTTTTGCTACTTTTGCTGCTTCGGACTCAGAGAACCTTCCACGGAGATTTGCATCCATCAAGTCGTGCAGTTTGCACAACTCAGCAGCACCACGCATTGTACTGGTGAATTTTCGCTTGCCAGAGAGAATCTGAAAACTTAGCACTCCAAAGGCGTAAATATCACTCCTCTCCGTAAATCGGCCAGTAGTAGAGTACTCTGGAGCTAAATATCCCATGGCAGCACTGGCCTTGAGTGCTGAAAAGACAATATCATTGGTAAGAAGCTTATGCAGGCCTGAGTTTGAAAGCAATGGTTTGAATCGCTGGTCAAGGAGCACGTTCTCGGCACAGATATTTTGATGCACTAGAGCTGGCTTATTCACCTTGCAACCGTGCAAATACTCGATCCCTGCTCAAGAAGATAACAGATAGATTATAGGCAAACCCTTGTTAGATCCACTCTATTATAAAGCGCCCAACTCGACACTTGTGTTTGGTAGAGTATACACTTGTTTTTAATAGCACAAATCAATAGAAGAGAAAAACCTTTCACTTTAAGGAACGCCCATGCTATTAAGACAGATAGACAAGACTTGAAATAAAAACTACATCTATGATCCAACACAGTCCTATATAAAATCTTGATATGCAACTAAATGAGCTAAAAGGTCAGAAAGCAGCAGCAATCAAGGATCTCAATGTCTCATGACTTGGCTGGACAAGAATACATATGAATGCTTATTCTTTAGCCATTTAGACATGAAATACCTTTTTGGTTCTCTTGGGATTAACCAAACCGACTTTTAGTAAGAGACATGCTTAACATCGTAATGCATGTTAAACATTACCTGTTCCTAAACCACTCAATCTTGAATTGTTGATAGCAAGCACTCAAAAAGTAAAATAATGTCAAAGTGCTGCACTTTAAATCTAACAAAAAAGAGTTTATTCGAACACTAACCTTTTGCGGTGCCATTTATGATAGATACCCTGGTAGACCATTCAAGAGCACGGGCATCATCCTCCTTGACATCTAGGTAGTGCAACAAATTACCTCTCGGAACAAAATCATAAACGAGAAAACATTCACCCCTGCTTTTAGAGCAGCAGAAACCTCTCAACCTAACTAAATTTTCATGTCTCAGAGACGTCAAAATGTTTAGTCCTCTTAAAAACTCGGCTTCCTCTGACTTGCAGCTAATTTTGGTAAGTCTCGTAACAGCAACAAGTGATCCATCTCTTAGAGTCCCTCTATATGTAGTCGAAAAGTTGCTCTTAGCCAATCGATTCTTATCAGCAAAGTACTGTGTAGCTGACTCCACCTCTTCCAAATTGAATCTGTAGCTCTGCAAAATCTCTTGGGAAACACCACCGTAACGCCGACCCTCAGCCAAGGGATCCCAACCACTCGAGTACTCAAGACTAACTAGTGGAGAACCGTTCTTCCTATTAACCTCCTTGGCTTGGTCAGTACTGAGACGGCTATCACACATATCTAGTCCACCTCCAAGTTTCTGCTGTCGTCTTCTATAGTGCGTGAAGGTAAGAACTCCTATAGCAGATGCAATAACAGTAACCACAATTACCCCTACAACAACAGATGCCTGTGAGGTTTTAGATGACTTTGCGCAACCATTTCCGCTGCAATTTAGATTGAGATTAGCTGTCTCTGGAATATCTCTAGTTGATAAACCACTTGCGCCACCTCCATAGGGCTCTGGTCTATTAGGATTCGAGCGATCCAAAGAGGTACAAACTTTCAAGGATGGGAAACCTACCCCACATAGTCCTGGATTGTTCTCATATTGGAATCCACCAACTAATCTCTTCAAAGCTTCAGAAGACAGAAAATAAAAGACCAGATAAGATATAATTTCACCAAAAAAAACATAATGTAGGGCGAGGAAATTTATTACCAAGAGGCACATTGCCCGAAAGCTTGTTGCTTCGGATATCCAAGACTTCAAGAAGGGGAGCATCTGCGAGTTTTGAAGGAATTGAACCAAAAAGATGATTAGAACTCAAGTCCACCCTCATCAACACTCCTAACTCCCCCAAGCTAGCGGGGATCGCGCCAGTTAACTGATTGGATTGCAGAGCGAGGACATTGAGCTTCTTTAGAGTCCCTAGTTGATTGGGTATGCTACCACTGAACTGGTTATAGCATAGTTGCAAAACTGTACAATCCGGAACAAGATAATAAAATTGATAAGAAACAGACTCCAAAATCGAAATGAGGATGAAAATAAACACCCAATGAGTATATCTTTATCATTTGCAAAACTGGAACAAGAAGTGAGCATTGGCGTAACTGGTAAAGTTGCTGCCATGTGCAGGGTAAGGCTGGATAGGATAGACCCTTGTGGTCCGGCCGGTAACCGGATCCGTGCATAGCGGGAGCTTAGTGCACCGGGCTGCTCCTTTTTTGCAAAACTAGAACAAGTTTCAACTTGTGAAATCGAGAATTTATATTTTACAATGAAATAATATCAAAAATTTCCGTGAGACATCAAGTATTAACAGCAAAGTTCCTAATTTTTACAACAAGAGCTCAGAACATTAGAAAAGAAACATAAATAAATAACAAGGAAAACGTAAAAATCGTTTCTTTTTATCACAATGCTACTTAAAAATTGCCAAAAAAATCACACAAAACATAAGGCATAAAGAGAGAAGTTTCCAACACTAACCTTGCAAGCTGGACATGTTTCCAAGTTCAGGGGGAATCTCACCAGAGAGATTATTAACATTCAAATACAGATCAGTAAGCTCAATCAAACTAGAAATTTCTCTGGGTATTTCTCCATACAAAGAATTATAATGCAAGTAGAGTCCAGTCAAGTGAGAAAGCCCAGCAATGGCCGGCGACAGTTTCCCAGAAAGCCTTTTACCTTGAAGAGAAATATTTGCAACTTGACCTTTTTCATTACAGGCAACACCTTCAAAAGAACCATCACATGGATCACCAGAAACTGTCCATGAAATGAGCAAAGCATTTTCAGGGTCAAGACTTGCCTTTAAGTCCATTAGAGCTTGCAACTCATTGTTTCCATATATGGGTTGTGGAGAAAAGAATGTGAAGAGTATGAGTAGAAAGCAGAGAAATGGAGGAAAACTCATGTTACCCTTTTGACTGAAAATGGTGGAGAGTGAGGTTTTTTGTGGGTTCAAAGAAGAAGTACTTGGAGACCTGAGTCACTGACTCATTTGGTTTCTTTTATTTTGAGCAGTGCTAATGTTTCTTTAAATGTGTCTGCGAGTATAGTGTTTTTGTTTTTTAAATACGAGTTGAGTATTTGCTTTTGTTCTTCTGCTGCGTTTGTGGTGTTGTCCTATGTTCTTGGCTTTTGATAGAAGAGGGCAGGGACCGAGGTGAGGAGAGGTTCGTATATCGGCGTTGGAAGCGTGCAGCAGTGCAAGTGAAAGTAACTATTCCAACAGACACCAATATCACTATTAATACCTAAAAAACAAAGAACAAGTGAAAGAACAAGGAGAAGGGACAAAGTTATTGGGCGCCCACATTGCTATTGGTTAAAAAAATAAGTGGCTTTATTTTATATGTATAGTGATGTTTAAGTCGACATTAATTTTTGAAAATATCTTAACACATAGATATATATTAATGTTGAGTTGGTTGAACTCTCACGAGTAGATATAAAGGAAACCGCTAGATCGTGTCGGATATGGGTAGGTCGAAAACGGATAATGTAAAAACGGATAAATTATCCGACCCGACTCATATTTAATACGGATAAAAAACGGGTTAACCGACGGATAATATGGATATCCATATTGTGTGATAGGTTACAAGTACTTTGGTCATAAGTATTTTACCTTATGTTTTGATGATCTAACAAACTTACTATCCAGAACCAGATAAGGAACCTATTACACATTTACAAGACATTAAGAATACAAGGTTCCAGGTTGGGATTCAGCGTGGAATATGATTCAACTCTTCAGAGTGGAAGGAACAGCTGAGGGAACAGGTCCCTACCAGCTCCCGAGGAGACTGTATGACGTCAACTTTCCAGCTGGAAAGTTGCTTCCTGCACACGCTACAGTGCGGGAACAGTGTTGCAGTCAACTTTTCAGGGAAGACTTTTTACCTACCTTGCTTACATCATGGTAAGTGATGTCACCCATGTATATATACATTCAAGGGAGGTAAAACAACACACTTGAACACTTAGAGATTTTACTCAAGCGTACTCACGTGACCATTCAGCAAGCAAGTTTCAAGTGCTTCAAGAACAATGAACAAAGCAATTCCTATCTAGCTTATTGAGTTGTGACTTTGTAATAGTTCTTCAATTGTAATTCCTATCTAGCTTATTTAGAAGCATTCTATAGGAACCCCTTTGTAAACCTTAAAC